GAGTCCGCCCCCCCCCCCAGGGGCAGAGCGGAGCGTCCCTGACTCACTTACCTCCTGGTGCGGGCCGAGGAGAAGCTGCAAGGGAGAGTGCGCAACGTGCTCCCAGGCGGTTAGGAGATGGAGGGGGCGGGGAGGAGCCGGAGATGCACAGTGCTCAGGGTGTGATGTAACACCCCGGTGCCTGGACTTAAAAAGGGTCGCAGACCTCCAGCAAAGGGGGGAGGAGACGGAGTGGGGTCTTGACCACCCGGCAGGCACATGTGGAGGCACGGCGAGCGTCAGGGACACCGGGGGAGAAGAGGACTAGGTAAAGGGAGAGGAAGCAGCCCAGGACAGGGCTCCCTAAATAGCCCGTGGGCTGGCGTGTTACAGCGGGATGCCCCACCAGCTGGACCGGAATGGACCACGCAGAGTCCGCATCCTTAGGGCCCTGGGCTGGGGCCCGGGAGCAGGGGCGGGCCCGGGCCCCCCTTTGCCCGCCCCGCGGATAGCGGGAGAAACCGAGGTTGAAAAACCCCACAACAACCTGCAACAAGCACACAAGGGTGACGCTTAAGGCGGCCTGCCCCTGTAACAGGAGCCGGGCCGGGGGTACAGTCGGGTGAGACTGGTACAGCGTGGAAAAAAAAATTAAAACGAGAGATAGTTAACAAAGAGCGATGCATATGGTATTTAATATGAAATCAAATAAAAAAGAAAATTAACACTATCCTTGGAGTATATGCATCATCATCCTAATAATTCAAGCTAATAAACACACTAAAATGCATATCACCCACACATAGCTCAGCTTTAAGATACTAAACAAATCTGAGAGTCAACTAGAAATAGTATTTGCAAGGAGAGCGTGACTAATACAATATTTACTGACACTGAAGGAAGATTAAAAGGCATTCACTAAGTCTTATACAGTTTCTCTGGGGAAAGTTTAGGATCCATTCTGTAAACAGATAAAAGTTCTCCTGGTTTGAAACTTTCACCTTGTGTGCATCACCAAGTTGAGGAATAGAAGCCCCAGAACAAATTAACACATGGCTAAAAAGTTTGTAGAGAGATGCAGGATTCAAAGAGCTTACAAATAAGATTTCATCCTACAAAACTAGTATCACATCTAGTACTTGCTACTTCTAACTCATAAGAGTCAGAACTCTACCACATAGCAAAGATCTGTCCTTAATGCAATATAATTTACCATGTATTAATTAGTAACACAGGATTTTAAAAAAGACATTAAGATCAGAGTTTTAGAGATGTGCAACATTCCAAAAAATGTTAAAAGACTTTTTCTTTCTTACCTTAATCTATTAACGCCTATGTAAACTTTGTTTCAAATTTAAATATTCAAATGTCCTCATAGTATACACACACACACACACACACACACACACACACACACACACACACACACAGAGCCCCCCCATGCAGTCTGTTTCCCCCCACCTCCCTCCAACCCAGACAGACAGAGAGGACTGCAAGTGAGTCAGGACACCTTAAACAAACTGACCCCACCTCCACCTCACTGCACAGATGCCAGCACCCATCCTCTCGTCCCCCCACCTACTCTGAGGAGTCAGCAGGGCTCAGAAAACAGCTGCACGGCCATGCGGACCCGCAGCTTAAAGAGAACTAGATGCTATCGGATCCATATATTTACTCAGTCTTTCACTGGTGGTAGTGAATTGAGGGCTGTGAACAGCTTCAGTCCAAATGGGGCCATCTACTTACATATACACAGAATGTACAATTCTGGGAATTTTGAACATGTAATTAAGGAACTGATCAGCATATTTTAAAAGTTTGTTAAATATAAAATTATATTAGTATTAATTTACAACACTATAACATAAGATAACTTTCCCCTATTTCTCCAAGCATCTTTTAGTCTGTGTCTACTTACCATTTTCCACATATGGATGAAAGGGCAAAACTAGTGCAAGAATGACTCTGCCTCTAGTTGGTTCCAAAACACTTCTAATATCTTTTAACACAGTCAGTGGCTGATCACAGCGATCAAGCAAATTCAAGCAGCTGATAACATCATACTGGAATCCTGTGTTCTGCCATTCATTTATACCGAGCACTCTAGAGAAAAAGAGAGAGAGCATAAAATGGAAAGTGTTACAGCTAAACAACTGCAATCTGAGCGCAGAGTTCTCAGTACACATCCTGCCTATAGCAATCGAGTAGATAATTCCCTACAGCTAAGGCTGACCCTTATCTTCACAGACTCTCTATACTTGAGAGCACATAGGGCTTGTGTACACAGGGGACTTAGTTTGCATTGAGGTGACATACACTAATTGGTGTGTAAAACCTAACTCAGGTTGGCTTACGGTACATAACTCCAGCTATGCAAAATATATAGCTGGAGTTGGCTTACCTTAAGCAGCACCCACCCAGCAAGAGGAGGAGTACTTGATGCTGGTATGGGCTACCCTCAATGTTCAATATACTAGACCCCCGAAACTGAATGCAAGAAGATCAACCTCAGGAGCACTGATATTCTCTTAAGTATAGATGTGCCCCAAGAGCATGCAAATGGCGCTGCTGTGCCCTCTTAATTTGCATCATTGTGTGTATATATGTATCATGAGCTAGTTGTGTACTAAGCATACAGTATACTAGGTGAGTATCCCAAGGTCCTTTGCTTTGATGCGGAGCTGTGTGCATTCTGGGATTTTTCTCACTGAGCCTTTTGAGATGCATAGCAGAAGCCAGTAGAATTCTGGGACTTTGGGGTCAAACTCCAAAAATCTCATGCTTGTGTTCCTTCTGATTCATACTCGCCCCCCCTCCCCCTTCTTAGTGGGCTAGCACCATTTTTGAATTGTTGTCAACTAGCGTGGGCACAAGAATCCCATGCATTGCTATGCTAGAAGCTACAAACACACAAAGACTGTGCTCCACCTCAGCACAAGGTGGCTTCAGTTTTGGAAGTCAACTTCTGCCCCACCGAGCAGATGATGTATCTACACAAAAGCAGCACCTGTAGTAGTGCCAAGCAGGTGGAGAAGGTACAGTAAACTTCTGATAATCTAGCACCTTTAGGATCCAGGGGGTGCCAGATTATCAAATATGCCAGACTATCGGAAGGGGGGGCTTTGAGGGGTCTGGGTTGGGGGGGCGGTGCTATGGGACCAACCCAGCACCCCAGCTGCTCTGCCCCGGGCGTCCCCAAGTCAGCCGCTGCTGAAACTGACCAGC